CGGGATTATAAACAATTTAACAATTAATAAATAAATGAAATTTGGTTTGCTTATGCTTAATTCATATTAATATTAAAATTAAAATTTAAAATTATTTAAAATTAATTAATATTAATATTAATATTAAAAAATAAATGTGATATACAACTTGGCATTTTTGCGGGATTATAAAAAATTTAACAATTAATGAATAAATGAAATTTGGTTAGCTTATGCTTAATTAATAGTAATATTAAAATTAAAATTTAAAATTATTTAATATTAATATTAATATTAGAAAATAAAAATGATATACAACTTGGCATTTTTGCGGGATCATATAGAATTTAACAATTAATAAATAAATGAAATTTGGTCAGCTTATGCTTAATTAATAGTAATATTAAAATTGAAATTTAAAATAATTTAAAATTAATTAAATTTAAAATTAATTAATATCAATATTAATATTAAAAAATAATTGTGATCTACAGCTTGCCATTTTTGCGGAATTATAAAGAATTTGACAATTAATAAACAAATGAAATGACAGATAGTAAAAACAATTGACGCTCACGCTCACGCTGCCCTACCTCCGTGGCGTGAGCGCGTTTGAGCGCAAAATATGTGCTACGAGCATCCTACGATGATGCTACGAGCGTACTTATGTGACACTCACAGCGCCAAGTCGAACGATGAAAGCGCGCTCACGGCGCGCTCACAGCGCGTAAGCGTCCAAGTCGAATGCACCCTAATTAACTATACTCGAAGTATTGATTGACATTTTATGTCAATGTATATATATCATATATACAGCTATACCCACGAGAGGCAATTTTCACATAAAACTATATTTGAGATCTATAACCTCAAGTAGAAATTTGACATCAAAGCTGCCTGATGTCAGACTTGGCTGTGGCTGCGATTGAACATGCAGAAGTACTGGATTTGATTTACAGTAAACCACATTAAGAGGATTTCTCAAAGACCAGATCAAAAATGCATCTTAAGCAAAAAAGCGAATTATGCGGAATAGACACAATATATTTCAAAATGCAAGACTTGGCGCAAAGTGGAGTATCATGCGGAAAATCGTATTAAACATATTTGTACTAAAGGGGTTCTACTATATATTGATATTTCGGGGTTTTGATGAATTTAGAAAAAAATTTAATCACTTACTTAAAATTAATTAATGCATTCATTAAAATTATAATTCTTATCTAATCACAAATATTGCATGTATCATTATTATTAAAACAATCTAGTATCATAAACATCTCTTTAAAATTATTGTGAATTGTATAAGATAATTTTATTGGTTTTTAACACGTTGTAATAAAGTATTATTCACGTTTTATAGTGATGAGATAATCAACTGTAATTACAGTCTACTAATTAAATGACGTGATTCCCACTATGTGTGTGTTAAACCTTTTATAAATTATTATTACTCTAAAACGACATTAAGGGTGCGTTCGACTTGGACGCTTACGCGCTGTGAGCGCTCACGCTTATAAGCACGAATTTTTAGCGTTCGACTTGGCCGATAAGCGCTCAGAATCGATAACTAAATTCCGTTCGTTTTGGAAACTGTGAGCGTCAATAAGCATCAAAATGGCGGCAACTGGCGGTAACGGTAATTGTGTAAATTTTATTACTTTCTGGATCATTCAGCGGGATTATAAACAATTTAACAATTAATAAATAAATGAAATTTGGTTTGCTTATGCTTAATTCATATTAATATTAAAATTAAAATTTAAAATTATTTAAAATTAATTAAATTTAAAATTAATTAATATTAATATTAATATTAATATTAAAAAATAAATGTGATATACAACTTGGCATTTTTGCGGGATTATAAAAAATTTAACAATTAATGAATAAATGAAATTTGGTTAGCTTATGCTTAATTAATAGTAATATTAAAATTAAAATTTAAAATTATTTAATATTAATATTAATATTAAAAAATAAATGTGATATACAACTTGGCATTTTTGCGGGATTATATAGAATTTAACAATTAATAAATAAATGAAATTTGGTCAGCTTATGCTTAATTAATAGTAATATTAAAATTAAAATTTAGAATTATTTAATATTAATATTAATATTAAAAAATAAATGTGATATACAACTTGGCATTTTTGCGGGATTATATAGAATTTAACAATTAATAAATAAATGAAATTTGGTTAGCTTATGCTTAATTAATAGTAATATTAAAATTGAAATTTAAAATTAATTAATATCAATATCAATATTAAAAAATAATTGTGATCTACAGCTTGCCATTTTTGCGGAATTATAAAGAATTTGACAATTAATAAACAAATGAAATGACAGATAGTAAAAACAACTGACGCTCACGCTCACGCTGCCCTACCTCCGTGGCGTGAGCGCGTTTGAGCGCAAAATATGTGCTACGAGCATCCTACGATGGTGCTACGAGCGTACTTATGTGACACTCACAGCGCCAAGTCGAACGATGAAAGCGCGCTCACGGCGCGCTCACAGCGCGTAAGCGTCCAAGTCGAATGCACCCTAAGTCTAACAATAAAATTATGAAACAATTGACAATAATTTGAAAAAAATACTTATAAATGATATAACAGACTGCTCAAAAGATTTAGCATTTTTCTGCGAAATTTTATACTTTTCTGCTAAATACAAAGAAACGGTTTGGCTAATTGTTGCGAAAAATTAACCAACGCTAGTCCTTATCGAGTTGCATAGAATTGTTTTTAATTTTTGAAATCAGACCAGCCGATTTTGAAAAAACGTGGACGACAGGTAAAAAAATGGTTCACATACACATAAACACACACATACACAGATATTGTTCTAGAAATGACACTTTTTCTACCGGAGTGTTAATGGACCAGAGACAAGAGATAAGCGGAGATTTAGTTGGTATTGAGTCCAGGCGGTATTGAATCTGACATACCCAGACAAAAGACCAGTCTGGGATGCATAAATGTATTTTCTTTGCTATACAAAAAACACACACACAAATACACACACTTCATCCAAATTTGTTCTCATTCGATTCAGAATTGGTTCAAACGTGGAAAAACAAAGTTTTCAAGTTAGATTTTTTGACAAAAACAAACTCTTTCTACGAGTTATATTTCTATAGATCGAATTATTGCTTGAAATCCAAAAAAAAATTAAAGGTACCAAAAATCAGTACTTATAAACCTATACGTACAAATGAAATAAAAAAATGGTTTTAACAATTTTAATGTATTATTTTAAATATATGACTTTCAATTCACAGTTTGCAATTGGCAAACATAAACGAGTCTTGCATTTAGAGCATTCAACTTTCACAGGTAGCGTTGTATTGGACTATTTTTTATTTTGAAATTGTTTATATACCTCATTTGAAGTTGACTGCCCTTTTACCTTTCACTCTCTATCAATAATATTGATTTCTCGTTGGGGATCATTTGGGGATATACTATCAAATCCTCATCGGACTGAAAAACTAATAATTAATCATCGAACTTATTACCGCTAATGTGTCTAAATGTAATTCTTCTGTCTTTAAGAGTATCTAACGGATAAATCTGATAACCAAAGAAAGCAGAAGCTTTATTGTAAATGAGCCAAAATCTGCTATGATGGGTCGTTGTGACCTCAAAATTACAAGACTATATAATAAAAAAGGTACCAAACTGAAATTCCCAAAGCAAACAAGTAGGTTTATATTGATATAGAATCTTGGAGCTATTATGTGGAATAGAAATAATATCGCTTCCAACTGATTGATTCAATTATCTGTACTGCGACCAGTTTGCGCAGCATTTACTTTGTTATTTCCGGTTGAAGAGTCTAACAAAGATCATATATATTGATATATATGATTTATGCTTTATCTCTCGAAAAAAGTCATAATTATTAACTTCTCATAGGGTAAGTTATAGTAATCGCAAAAAAATCGAAAATGAAAATTTTAGCATATCTTCACCTTTTGAAGGTTTCTGAACATTTTGGCATACCTTAGAAAAATTGGATGTATGTGTGTGTGTATGTTTGGATTCAATATTTCGTCCACGATTAACCGATTTGAATGATTCAAAAAACATTCTATTCCTATTGATGAGGAGACGTGCTAATTAGTTTTTCGTGGGTGGAACAGGTCCAGCCGTTTCAAAGATACGGGGCAAAAAGTGCCAAAAACGGTAATTTAATTTTTGAGAGAGCGGAGTACGAATGATTCAAAAAACATGTTACTTGTATTAACAAAATGAAGAATTGATGAAATTTTTTGGTAAGGCAGGTTTAGCGGTTTCGGAGATACAGGGGACAAAGTAGAAACAAATTGATATTTGGCGGTCAAAAATGATCATTAGACATATGCACATCCAATTATCAGATATTTGATAACATTTTTAAAAATGGGTACTAATTTTGTTACAATTTTGTTGGATTTCGTACCAAGATTGTTAATTTTTAAAGTTTACTTGTACAGTTCAAGCAAATTTCGAAATTTTCAGAAAATTTGGGATCGTTCAAGTATTACGTAAGCAGATTTATTACAATTATTTACCCCCCTCCATCCCCCTCTTACCCCCTACCCTCATGCTTACGTAAACATTTTGCAATATAAAAAAAAAATAAAAATACTACCTATGACGTAATCATCATCCAGACTCCCTTGCCCCCCATGTCAACCCAAAATAAGCGAATCAACAACCCCCCCCGCCCCCCTATAGTGCTTACGTAATACTTGAACGGCCCCTTTCTGGTATGGGAAGTTCCAGCAATTTGCCTTAAGGCACGATGCCATGCACCTCACTAGTTTGAGAATATATCGATAAATTGGAATGTAACCCAAAATATATACGGGTCCAACTAATAACCCATGGAGGGTTGTACAAAAATGTTGCTCACCCCTGTTTGCAAAATAACGGCCGTTGTCGTGCCTAGCCGTCCGTTACCACGAATACTCCTAGGCGACCGTTTTGCCAGAAATTGCAAACTGGAACTGGAATCTTTTCGCAAAGGTTAAACACAGTAAAATAATGCGATAATAAGCAATAAATGTAAGTACTCCGGGAGCCGTACATTAGCTCAATGTGACATTGACATTTGACGTTGTCGGTTCGCTGTGTGTATGTGTCCATTCATAATCAGTTAAAAAGTTCTATAGTAACAGAATCATTTATTTATAAATTATAAACTTGACCGGAAGGTTAAGAGAGCGGCAGTTAGTCAGCTATTGATAGTTCTATAATGGAATTAGTGCATTAAAATTTCAAATAAACGTACCATGGCAACGTTAATGAAGTGCAAACATGTATCGGTTCTTGTTAAATTAATTAATAAAACATCTTACATTAAGGTAAGATACAATCTCTACCAATGTGCAATTATGTATTTGTCAACTACAACTACAAATTATTTGTTTCATATTTTAAATCAATATTAATAATACGCTATTAAATATCATGTGATGGTCTGAATGAACTCTTGTGATTTTTTAGAATGTAAATAGAGGCGCAGATTTTCATACAAGTTTGAACTTACAAAAGATCATTCCCTTTAATTTATCTGACATTGGAGAAGGAATTAGAGAAGTCACTGTTAAAGAATGGTAATTATTATTTAATTTATTCATTAACATCAATTTAATTGTAGTTTTAATCATAATAAACAATTATACCAAGCATTAAAAATGTATAACTTACATCAGTTGAGTTATAAATTGTTATAGATTCAGGATTTTTTATGAGGATTGATAAATCCTACTATTATTCCCACAAATTATAATAAAATGAAGAAATTTTAGTCGCTGATTACATACTTGTATATAAATAAATAAATAAATAATATATATATATATATATATATATATATTTAATATATTTTGATGTTGAAATATGTGAGGTTCAATCTTCAGGGCAATACATCAATTAAAAACTTGTAGGAACTTATAACATTTTTATTGTTTCTATATGTCTCGACACATTGTTTTGTGTCATCTTCAGTGGAATGTAATTGAAATATTTCTAATTATTTTCTAATAATAATTGTTCACAAATGCACTACTAAAACATTTCTTGTCGCTTTAAATTGGAACAATTATATAAATTTTTAGAAGGAATTTCTTTGTGTAGCGAGTAACATGTTGCAAAAAAAGTTTCTTAAACAATAAAAATGTTATAAGTTTCTACAAGTTTTTAATTAATGTATTGCCCTGACGATTGAATCTCATATACATATTATATATATAATATATTATATATATATATATATATATATATATATATATATATATGATATTTGATTCCTTGTTCGACATATCCACAAATGTTTATTGGCAGCCAAATAGTCTAAATAAAAAGCAATAAACAATTAATTATTAATTATGTATGTCTTGACACCATATGTGTATCATTATTCAGCACATTATCAAATTTAATCACATTAACTAATCATCGTTAAAGAATGATATTGTTAATACTTCATTTATTTACTAAGATGTAAATTTTTGAATTTTGTGAAATATTTTTTAGAATTTGTTTAATGTGTTGAATATGATGACAAACATACATGATAAATAGTTAGTTGTTTATTGTTTTTTTATTAAAACTACTAATTTATTTATAGATGATTCAGTTCAGACATAACACCAAATACAAAAAGTAGTAATTAAAATTACAAATAAATCCACAGGTTTCAGACTATATCAAGACCAGCATTTATTGGTAAAAAATAAATATCTTTATAAAACTATCGCAAAAATAATAACACAGTCCAAGGAATTACTAATTCAAAAGTTAAACATATTTATCCTTGCGAATGAAAAATAAATATCCTTGTGAAACTATCACAAAACTAATAGCACAGTCCAAAGAATTATTAATTTAAACGCCAAACTAAAAGTTAAACTATATATAAGTAAATGACATGGTAGTTAAATAAAAATAAAATAGACGATTAAAGTTATATGTAGTGTTGAGTTAAAAAGTTTGTAAGTTTAATTAACAAGGTTTTTAATTGGTGTTATACATGAACAAAATTATTTAAATATGTATATATATATATATATATATATATAGCATATATTTAAATATGTATTATATAGCAGTTGAGACTAATACGTTGTTTGTGTTATTTGCTAATCATTCACTGTATTCAATTTTATAACTAAATTCTTATCACTTGCAAAATATCTTTTTATATTTTTAAAATGATTTAGCTATTATTATTTAATTTATTTAAATGATTTTTTATCTTTCCAATTTAATTATCATAAAAGTATTTTATTATTTGGAATATCCTTGTAATATGTATCGTAATACATAATTCAAGTTTCCTTGCTTTGTATATTTTCTTGCAGTTTGTAGAAAATAAATTCAAAACAATTGGCAACTACTTCATATCATAATATAATATTTCTCATATATTAATACCCATTTTCATGTTAAGAATTAAAATATTTGGAAGCATATGTAAATAATAAAGATTATATAAAATATTATTCATCTTTATTTGATGTATTGCTCTGAAGATTTTAGTTATTTTGATATCAAAATTGTTATAATATATATATATATATATATATATATATATATATATATATATATATACATGTATATTTATGCATTCCTAAACTTATTTGTTTAGACTTCAAGATATGTTATTTATCATGTTAACACGATCATGTAATGTGAGTCTACAGTGATTAAATTTCTCAGGTTTGTCAAAGTCGGTGATAAAGTTGAGCAATTTGATAACATTTGTGAAGTACAAAGTGATAAAGCCTCGGTTACAATTACCAGTCGTTATGATGGAGTTGTTGCAAAAATTCATCATGATGTAGATTCTGTTGCTCTTGTGGGAAAGCCATTAGTGGATATTGATATTGAAGATGATGGAGATGATAAAGCTGAGACAGGTGAGAAAAATGACAAAATTGGAATAGATACAAACATAATGGCAAGCATATCTATTAATTATATTATATAGATGGAAGTTCATCAAGTGACGGTGAAGCTCCAAAGCCTGCTGCAGCACAAAAAACTGAAACAAGTGAACCTGTAGCAGAGGAAAAAACAAGTAAGAAGGTTTTGGCTACACCTGCTGTTAGAAGAATAGCAATGCAAAATAAAGTATGAATTCATTTTTTACTAGCCTGATTGCACAATGTGCTAGTTAATAATAATCTTATTTTATTTCAATAGTTAGACCTGAGTACAGTACAAGCAACAGGCAGAGGTGGTAGGGTTCTAAAAGAAGATATTTTAGTTCATCTTAATCAAACGGCTGATGGTAAACCTATGTCAGCAGAAGTTCAAGAAAAGATTATGGCCGGTAGACAATCTCAACAAGCAGAGACTGTTGTGAAAGAAGATTATATGGTGCCCATTAAAGGTGTACAGAAAGTTATGTTTAAGACCATGAATGATGCTTTGGTAAATATTTCGAAATTAAATTTATATATATATATATATATATATATATATATATATATATTAGGGTGGTCCTTAAAATGGTCATTTTCGAATTTCCTTGCTCCCAAGGGCTCAAATGGTTCCAAATTGATAAAAAACAATTCTCTGAAAGTTTAAGCTCTTAATATTAACGTTTAGATAGAGCGCAATTCAATCAAAGTTTTGTATGGAAATAGCATGGAAAATTTTTCAAAAATATTAAAAATGTTCTTTAGATGTAATTTAGCAAACAAATAAATGAATAAAACTCATTCATTTGTTGCTAAGTTATACCTAAAACATTTTTTTTTAATTTTCAAAATTTTTTCCATGCTCTTTCCATACGAAGTTTGATTGAATTGCGCTCTCTCTAAACCTTAATATTAAGAGCTAAAACTTTCAGAGAATTGTTTTTTATCAATTTGGAACCATTTGAGCCGCTGGGAGCAAGAAAATTCAAAAATGACCATTTTAAGGACCACCCTAATATATATATATATATATATATATATATATATATATATATATATATATATATATATATTTAGATATATGGATGAACACATATCCTAATGGGATATTGAACTTTATTTTACAGAAAATACCTCACTTTGCTTGCAGTGAAGAAATCAATATAACCAAATTAGTTGAATTGCGTAATTCTGTAAAAGAAATTGCAGCTCAAAGCGGCATAAAATTAACCTTTATGCCATTCTTCATAAAGGCTGCATCGAAGTGCTTAGAAAAATATCCAATACTCAACAGTTCAATTGATGATAAAGAAGAAAATATTATATTTAAAGGTGCACACAACATAACGATTGCCATTGATACACCTCAAGGCCTTGTAGTTCCAAATGTGAAAAATGTGCAGGCTAAAAATATATTACAAATAGCAGCAGAGGTGAATAGGCTGCAAGAAGCAGGCTTGAAAAATTCTTTGAGGCCCGAAGACTTTGCTGGTGGAACTTTCACATTATCAAACATTGGAAATGTAAGTTTATGAAAGTAGAATTGTAAATCACATAATCATATTTAGAAAAAGTTTGAGCATTTTTTTCTATTTTTTTAGATGGGAGGTACATACACACATCCAGTTATCTTAGCACCGCAAGTGTCTATTGGAGCAATTGGTAAAGCACAGGTTTGTATCATTTTTGAAAAATTCTAAAATAACATTGTATATAAAATATTATAAATAAGTTAATTTTTTATTAGGTGTTGCCACGATTTGGACCCGATGGTGAATCAATTGTAAAAGCTCATATTCTTACTGTTAGTTGGTGTGCAGATCACAGAGTTATTGATGGAGCGACAATGGTGAACTTTTCAACACAATGGAAAAAATATTTGGAAAATCCCAATTTACTAATGCTCGACTTGTGAAAATTGAAAAATAATTTTAAGATTTCAGTTTAAGAAACCAGATGCATTTGTAGAATAATTAAACTCGATTAAAATTTATAGATCTGTTGTGATAAGTGCATTTTAGAACTGTGATCACAAATGAAGGCACAAGCAGGCTATACCTCTAGTTCGTATAATGGATTTGAGTGTATTTTATAATTGTCTAGCCATAAAGTGTTTTCTGCAGTAAACATTGACCTAATTGTGCCTTCATAAACATTAAAATTCTGTCTTCCATAAAATTAGAATAAACAAATTGTTATATTTACCTGTTAATATTGACATCTAGACTGAGGGATTGATTTAGTTAATGAATAAAACCCTATTCTTGAAATATACACAACTTTAATATTTCTTTAACTTTTACAATTTTCAGTACTTGTTTCCAATATATTAATATAATGCTATTTTACACAATTTACACAGTAAAACACCAGTGCCTTATTATTTATTCACTACACTGATATCAATGTTGTTACTGACTGACAGTGAGAGTAGTCACTTACTACTTTTAGCATCTTACAAACAGTGAATTTGTTGAAATAAATTATACAGCATGACATCTTTTAGTACATCAAGCTAACTTTTAACTACTTTAATACATTAATCTGAACAATTTAACTTCATTCAGTTCGTCTTTTATACACACCAACTGTATGGACAAAATATAAATGCAGCAACAGTTGTTGCTGTGTCTCAAATCATACATAATTTTAAACTAACCCAGAGTTAATTTATTTAATGCAATATTCAATTACATTTCATTTTCATTAACATAATTCTTTAATTATCTCTATAAACAATAAACATTCGCACGAGCAAAACTCAACTTAATACATTACTCATTTATATTAAAAATTGTTTATTGTCGCTATAGTAAATATTTATATAATAAATATATATTTTTAGTTTAATTATACATTTTTGATATAGTTTTCAGATCTTACTTGAGAATACTTATAATTTAATGATCACACTTCATGCACAACCAAAAGAGATTGATTGCGCATGTATTTATTTATTGTTTTAAATTAGTAGCTTCTTTGCTAAACATGGAATATAAAATTAACATGTTCAATATTGTAAGTTTACCAATTAATAATATTTTTATAATTGAATTTAGTTCAATTTCCAAACCTATAATGTCAAAATGTTGCTTTTGCACAAGTACATCAATTACTTGAGCCACAATTTATAAATATTTCACTATAAAGATATATAACTTTTCTTTTTCAAATCATATTTTGAAATAAAATAACTTATCATAAAATAAAATACTGGGTAAAAGTATGGATAAAATTAATATCAACAATAAATTTTCATAAATCTATTTAATAAAATGGTCAACATCGATTTTTAATAAATGTCTTCAAATTTGACTTGAATGAATACTTGATATTGCTTCCTAGGTAAAATTAATATTTTTAATGGACAAAATGTTACTATAATATTCTTTTATTTATATAACAAGAAAAATAATTACTAAAATCAATTTCTTTGATTCACCTGTTATTTTCCAAGTGCGCGGTAAAGATAAAATAGTTACTGAATAACAGAAATCAAAAGTGAACCGGACTGTGTGCAAATTTTATGATCGAGATCTTGAACAGAGTATTTGTAACACGCATCTTTGGTTTAGTGTCCATTGAATTATTGTTATGGTGTGGGTGCTTTGGGGGGGATTTGGCAGCTTATTCTCTCATGTATGGATAGTCGACACATGTGATTGGAACAAATGTCTCCTTGATAGATTGAGGAGTAGTCCAGCGCAAGACATAATGGGGACCACCAGCCTTGTCATTAGTACCTGGGGGATAGATAATATAAATATCAATATTTTGAAGTAGCACATTAACTATGTTTAATGATTCATCATGGATGTATTAGAAAATTTTATTTCAACTTAGGAATTTATGTTTATTTACCTGACATTCTACCACCACCAAATGGCTGTTGTCCAACAACAGATCCAGTAGATTTATCGTTAAGATAAAAGTTGCCAGCTGTCATTTTCAATTCTTCTAAAGCATGTTTCAAGAAAGCCCTAAAATTAAAATAACATTGAATTCCAAATAATTTTTTTGAATTTCACATATTTAAGTGACTAATTCCATAATCTTCTATGAAATGGAAATAAAACATGTAAATTGAGCAAATCATTCTTTCTTGACGTCAATTGTTCTTTAATTTAGTAATTAATTTTAGAGCAAATTAGCTCCAAGTTAGATTAGCATGTCAAAAAAATAAAAAAGTATACATAAAAGATCAATGTCTAATAAAATCACCAATGAATTAAGAAGTATTGAATTTTAATTAAATCCACTTAATTATCAAACTAAAATAACTGGTATTATTAATACAAACGTTGTAAACACAACCATAAACTTAAACAAAAAAAAGATTTATGGAAAGCTCTCCAAATTTCAAATAAAAACAAAAAATAGTTCTTATATTTAATCATAAAATAAAACTTACTCATCCTTAGCAAATACAGCTCCAGTCAGAGCAAATTTGGTGGAAGTTCCTACTAACTGCAAGGTTTTTTCCACATCTTTGTCGGGGTATACATAAATGCACAACACAGGGCCAAATATTTCTTCAGTCATCAGCTTATCGTAGGGATCCTTGGTTTGCACAATGGTAGGCTCAATGAAATAGCCGGTGCTAAAAATAATAATTAGGCAAAAATATAATAATCAATAGAACGATCACACTAAAACTAGCATATTATTATAATATAAAAAGTAAATTTATGAAAAACATTGCATATTTATTATATAGCAATATAATTATAGCAAACTTAAACTATACTATAACAAATCATTAATTTCTAATATTATAATTGTAACAGCTGATAATTTACTGGGAGTTTGTTGTTGTAGATTTGGAAGTAGTTGGAAAAAAATGTTCAAAGCAAAAGATTAGTGTACCATTAAATTTGAAAGATTATTTATTAATGCTTGTTTATACCATCCAGAACACTACATGCACATCAAAAAAGAGGAATTAATTAGACTAACAAATAGTTTGAAACTGGCTTTAAGCAATAAGTCTAATTGCTAGAGCTTAAAAGATGTGAAAGCTAACCAGTTAACCACAAATTGCGTTCAACTTTTTCATTATTATTGCTTGTTAACAATATAATTAAAAAATAATATTAAAGTTATACCTATCATCACATCTACCACCAGCCAGTACTTCTACATGTTCTGATTTGCAAGCATGGTCTATGTAACCCTTTATCCTGCAGTAAGCCTTCTCATCAATAACGGCTGCCATAAATGTATCATATTCTTTGGGATCACCTACTTTCAATGTGTCTCTGGTGCAGAGAAGACCTTGTTTGATCTAAAAGAATAGATAAATTTAAAATCATAATTTATCCTTTATTTATTTCAAATAATTTATTTATGACTTTCTATTACCTTTGGCCACAGAGATTCAGGTATGTAGGCACGAGAGCATGCTGAGCACTTCTGTCCGCAGAACTCAAATGCTGATCTAATGGTTCCAGCCACTACAGATGCTACATCGGCTGATGGGTGAACAAAGTGGTAATTCTTACCACCACACTCTCCAATCAAACGTGGGAAGTTGATGTATGAGTTAATGTTTTGACCCACTTGAGTCCACAAACGATTGAAAGTACTTTGAAAAAAAAATTCACATAATTAAAATATATTATTATTAAAAGTAGGTAAAGAAAGTTTTTTTTATACTAACGGTACTGATCCTGTGAAGTTAATGCCAGCTAAATGAGGAGAGGCAGTGACAGTGTCACCAAATACAGGACCATCACAAGGGATAAAGTTGACAACACCTGGTGGAAGACCAGCCTCACGCATGATCTTGAATATGATCCAATTTGACAGTAAAGCTGTATCTGATGGTTTCCATAATACACCATTGCCCTAAAACAGTCAACTATTTTCACACTTTTGTAATAAAAGATATGCATACTTTTAAATAAGAAACTGGATGTTCAAATCATTTGCAAGACTTAATTTTCTATTTGATTAATTGGAATCACAACACAAAATATGTTACTCTAATCATATTTCAAGAAACAACTGTTACTAATGTACTTCTCAATAAATGTTTATGTAAGCAAAATTTATGAGTATAGAAGTATTGTATCAATAAAGTTGAATAACATGATTATACATAGATATAAATTATTATTCTGTAATTCTAAGTTAAGCTGAATCCATTACTTTACCATTAAAGCTGGTGTATAGGCCAAATTACCACCAATAGCGGTAAAGTTGAAAGGACTAACAGCAGCAATAAATCCATCAATACCTCGGAAACGCATAGAATTCCTTGTAACACTCAAATCTTCGCTAATTGGTTGGTATTTAGTTAATTCCTTCAGGAAGAAGGCATTCATTCTGGTATTAATATGGAATAATGAAATATATTGAGAATATGTTAAATAACGTCCTCAATTAATTTAAATTCCATGTACCTAATGAAATCAATCAATTCAGCTGCAGAATCAATTTCAGCTTGAATGACTGTTTTTGATTGTCCTAACATGGTTGCAGCATTTAATTCTTGTCTATAAACACCGGCCATTAAATCTGCAGCCTTCTCCCAAATACATAATCTTAAAAGATAAAAAAAATCAATTATTACTTCAAAAATATAAAATAAACTATATATTAAGATGTAGTGTAGTAAAATACCTTTCACTTAAAGGGGTACGATCCCATTTTTTCTGCGTTTCAACAGCCTTATCAATAGCTTTCTGAACAATTTTTTTGTCAGCATAGTAAAACTGAGCCAATTTGTGTTTATGGTTGTGGGGCATGACTTGGAATCTAAAAATAATCATAATTAAAATTTGTTTAAATAAATAACAACTATTCATAAATTTAAAAAATAGATAATTTATCACCTGACATCGCTTGTGCGTATTTCTTCTTCACCAATAACAATGGGTACATCTTGAATTTTAGCCGCAGTCGATTCGAGTGCAGTTTCTAATTTGCATCGTTCTCTAGAATTTTTCAAATAACCTAATACTGGTTCATTTTTTACACCAAAGTCGTTTAAACAAATTTCAGGTACCACAGATGTGACTGAGGCTGCCCGCTCCCCAACCCTAAAAAAAGATCATAATAGAAATATAAACTTATCACAAAACTGAAGTCACATTATACTGGTACAAATGGATTTATCATATTTTGATAATCATTGACTACCAATGCTTAAACTTTTATTAAAAAACTCAATTGAAACCCACAAATATTTAAACAAAGTGTAAATGAGAATTAACATGGAAAATCAATACTTATATTCTGCACTATAAAAAATTTCATATATTGATTAGTTTGATGGGGATAGGTGTTAGGAACATCCTTTTCGGTTATTATTTTATTATATTTGTGAATTCTACTTTATAGAAACCAGAAAAAACTTTCTAGACTTGTAACAAGGACTAATTTAAAATTTATCTCTATATATATATATATATATATATATATATATATATATACAAACATATATAGTAGAAAAATACGCAAAGAAATAATCAACTTCCACAATAACAAGTCTATTTGTTTCTATGCGTTAATTAGCACCTGTTATGATAGGACTAATTATATACAACCTGTCAATTGATTTTGCCGTAAATTGCGTTTCTGCATACTAGAAAAAAATATCATTGCAGAAATAAATTCTTATACAATTTCAAGTATATGTACATATTTTGCTTTTCATCCCCAAAATTGTACATATTAATGACCTTGAGCAATTACATATTATAGAATTGTAATGTGATACGATGTGCGCATTTTAAGCGCACATTCAAAACAAACAATAACAATTAAATTCTTGATAAATTCCTATCATTTTCATCGTTCTAAGTAAAACATTTTGCACATTATTGAATAACATAAATGATTAATATCATTATAAGCACTTGAACTTATAACACTCGATCGAATGTTATCAATTCTAACGATAACATTCATCCGGGGGTCAATAATAAAAATACTGTAGAGAAAGACACTGACCTCTGTAAATTTGTTGATAATGTATGTCTACAGATGGAAAACATCGCGATATGATTATTTAAACTTTGATAAACGACACTTGAATTTTTTTCGATAGTTTCTTATCTGACGTTAACCATCCACACGACGGCCTACTGCTTCTAATATTTGTGACGTAAGATTACGTAACACTGAGTTCAGGTTGAACGAAAACACACCTACGTCCTATAGCTCTGCCTCTTCTCTCTCTTGGGGGAGGAAAGAGATGGAGACAACATGAGAATTCAATCGATGCAATTACAAGGTGCGCGCGTCGCACAACACGGTCCAATTGACAGTTTGCCAATGTCATCAGGGATATTTTTATCGTTGATAATACATAATAGGTGGATTATTTTTACTTCGTTGCACGTTGTATTTTTGGTGACTTTCTCTTATATAAATGATAATTATCATATGAGATTTACGAATTTCTATAATTGGTCAATTACAGTTTTACGCAATTGCAAATAAATTGAAATTGACTTATATAAAACTGACCCAGTTTTCAATTTTCAGAAATTGCAATTATACTGTTAATTTTTAATAAAATTATACTATTAATTATTAATTATACTAGTATTAATCATACTAATTCATTATTAATAAAACTTAAATGCACGATTCCGAAATTTTCATACATTTTTTTCGTTTATTAATCTATTTTTTTGAAAGCATTATTTTTTCTATTATTTTAATAATGATTTTATTTAATGGATTTTTACTTTTCAACGAAGTGCGTGTTGTATACTTTTACAAGACTACTATAATCAAATTATGCCAATTTTTATGATAAAAAACAATAAAAAATAAAATAAATGATTATCATATATCATATATCATTATGATAAAAAAAACCTTAAAAATTTAATATAAATCCGCAATTTAAATAATCAATACAAGAATAATATTCTTGCTACTCAAAGAATCCGGTTAACCCTTTGTTGGACAAAAATGTATCCACACATTTTTTTATTTGAATTTTAATATAAATTTTGTACATCTCAGACAAGCAGAATTGCCTGGTATGCGAGATCGTACAAAATATCTATACAAAGTATATATATATATATATATATATATATATATTTCTTTTTTTTTCTACATATGACATGGTCATGACAACATTTTATATCATTTATTCTATAATTCAATCATGCGTATATTCATTCTTATATTCATGCTTTGGTCTAATTTATTTATCTATATTTTTTTTATAATATTTTTTAACTTAATTTTAAATTGATTCTCTTCTTTGGTCATCTTTATTTCTTTCGGAATAATTTTATAGTACTCCATATACTGTACTTATTTAGATAGTCCATGATGTTCAAGATACCATATACTGAAAAAAATCACTCAATTTTTTTTATTAATTTCAAGAACTTACGAATTGTTTTGACCAATTGACGACATTATTATAACATTACATTTTTTATCAGAGCATGATTATTTTTACATTTATAATCCATTATGCAGAAAATCTATGAAGATGTTACAATTCAATTTTCTTTTTCTTTAGGTACTTAGGTATACTCATAGATAAACAAGTATAAATAGATAGCTATGTCGGGCGATTTGACGTTTCATCGATTGAAGTGCGGAGCTAAGATTATTGATGGCAGCACATGTTCATTTTGTAAATTAACCCCTGGTATTACTTCTACATTTGTACATATAATCATTACAGCCAAAAAAATCTAAAAAATTTTAATATTTGAAATAAGAACAAAACATACGAAATACAAAATATATTTTCAAATATATCACAGACATATTTTGGAAGAAATATAAACTAAACAGAAATAACTGACTACTATTAATTAAAGTATATTACAAACATATTTTTAAAGTACTACAAACTAAAGAAAAGTAACTTATTAATATTAATTAACGATATTAATATTAATTACTTAATGACTAATAATAATATATTAAAAACTTAAAAACTAAGAAGTGAAAAGCGCAGGAGTATTGACGATGGAATTACAAATTTAGAAGGAATGGCAAGTAATGCAAAAATTTAAAGAATAAAAAGAACAGCAAATTTCTAAAAAAGAACGAATACTTCCCAACAAAATAAACCTCGAAATTAAATAGAGATAAAACTAAATTCCTAGGATTAAAATTCATTTACGAGATGTTCTTCTTTATTATCTCTCCATTTAATAGTTACTTTGCTATCTAATCAATCATTAATAAAGTTACATTTGACGAAATCTTAAATAGTTTCTGTGTATGAGTGATTTTTAAAAATTACATTTATTCATTTTATGATCATGATGAATCCATTAACATTAAAACTTACATAAAGATAAAAAAACTATAAAGCCAAGTGTTTTCAATAAACAGAATAAAAATGTATGCATTTGATACCTTTGCAGACTTTTTGTACAGTTTCAAAGCAAGAATCATGTCCTTACTTATTTTCTTTGCAAATGGTATTTAGAATTAAAATTACTTGGCCCTTCTCTGGATTTGCACACTGTCATGTTTTTTATTAGATTGTTTTGTTTACCCTCTATCAGAATTATCGCCTGATTCTACATCAGAATGCTCTCCTAGTCGTGACTGTGTGAGAGGGAAACTCTTTCATGATTCCCGTAAAGGAGATTTGTCTAATCCACACACTTCAATACAGGTCAAAGAAGCCTAAACAAGAAGCATATTATTATATAAATTATTACAAGAAAGACAGATACTTGATTTAAAGATACAACTACATTATTCAAAATAAAATATATAAGCAACTTGTATTTAGTTACCTGAAGTAAGATTACTCTCCTTCGACAATCTGCCACTGCCTCTACATCATTTTTATGAATTGACATTGATATACCAAGTTCTAAAATAATTATTATTAAAATACATTCATATAGTACAAATCCGGCATATTTAGGCTCCGGAGAACATGAACTTTAGGATGCTTTCTTGAATTGATTGAAAAGTGTTTGACTTCTGACATTTTCATCGTGTATTATTATTATACATTTTCATTATATGAATAAATATAACTCATCATACATACCTGGCCATCACTTAAGACGTGCATTCAATATTCATTAGTTGAAACAACTTGGCACGTGACCATACTAAATTTATTATTAAATATTCACTAGAACAGAAATATTTAGCAACAACATATGGGTTATTGGCACATTCGTACGACGGCTGTCAAATGCGCGAACGAGCGTTGTTGTAATTGAGCGAATGTAAGCCATCTATAATCTAAGCTTGGCAATACCCAATGTCAAAACACGTTAAAGCGTATTTGTTCAGAGATAACCCCCCATGGGTATACTTATGATTCGATCGATTATACGTGAGTTGTGAATATAAAGAAAACCATTATTATGGTCCTTCACAACCTTGCTTACGAATGGAAAAACAAATCAATAATTTATAAATAACTAACAATTTATTCTGTAATTAAATTCAAGAGCATGTTGTTACTTGTTAGTTGCGACAGTAAGGTCATTACATCTTTACTAGTAAGGTGACCATACGTTCCGGTTTAGCCGGGACTGTCCCGGATTTCCACCATGTGTCCCGGGTTTTTCTAAAAGCAATATTTGCCCCGGATTTATATCTTTTGTCCCGGTTTTTCGAAAATTGAATTTTCGCTCTTACTTGATAATAAAATTACAACTACCCCCATCAAATATCTAAAAATGTTATGTACAAATAGTATGCTTATATGAAAAAAGCAGGTTGAAATAGCCTCTAACATTCATAATTTTGAACTTATATTTGAAATTTTACGAAAATTAATAAAAATTATGAGAACGAACTTCTTGACTGCCTGGAATATCTATGTGCTAATTATTTTGAATAATTATGAGTAAAATTGAAGAAAAATTTATAATAATAGTTTGAAAGCTTTCGGATTTTTATTGCATTCTTAAATATTGTTTGTTATTTTAAAATCATATTAATTTTTAAATTTTTAAATATTTACCCCACCCCCCCCCCCTCCCCCGTCATAACCAAAAATTACCGTCACGGTTTTGACTTGAAAAAATATGGTCACCTTATTACTTGGTCTTGCCCATTATTTTAAATATTACATCGACGATTGTTGTTTTTTACGCAAAAAGTATTGTTTAAATTAATTCTATTTGAATTTCAAAGAATTATCTGGCCTTTAAATGCAAACGTTCGTTCCGCTTTCGTTTGCTGACCCTGAGAGTGAATTGATTTTAATTGGATAGATTGTATAATAGAACTACATATTTTGATTTCGATTACATATTCTTTCCTATGTACAATTCTATTTCTTCAATAATATTCGTAAACATGATGTAATTGAAACAAAAACAACTATTGACATATAATTATATTTTTATTTGTATATCACATTTACTCTTTCTAAGCTAACAAATATAAATAAATTAATACCTTAATTATTCAAATTATTTGAGCAAATAAAAGCTATTAACTACAAATTAAATAGATAATGATATATATATATATTATATATGTATATATATTTTCTAATTTATATATTGTTTGGAATGCTATATATATTACGAAAATGTAACACTATGACTTGCATAATGAACGGAAATTTTAATAATAATAATATTAATAGTAATAATAATAATAAGTATTTATCAGCTACGTAACACTGGTATATTTTTAATTAAAGTAATAGATTTAAATAACTAAATTTACTACTAAGAATTAGTTAATAATATCATTTTTAATTTCATAAGTAATTCTCATAATAAATAGATTCTTTGGTGCATTGCAACAATTCTAGATTAACCATTTTAGGGAAAGAAATGCATGTAAGCGTATACTTTTTGTACTAAAACTGTTCACAGAATAGCACTTATTAAAATAAAAATTCTAATTGAATTACTTAATTTGATTTGTTATATACATTGGTAATTTAAGGCTTTTTCCAACGAGATTTGTTTAACATAAAAGCTACAATTTTAATTTATTTCTCGTTATTAGCCTTTATTATCCATAACTTTACATAAGGCCATACATGCATATGTACTTTCGATTAATTAAAATATATTAGTTAAAAATTATTAGTTATATTTAAAAAAAATATTAGTTATATTTAATTAATTATATGTAAATTAGATTAATTAAGTAAAATTTATAAGTTAAATTATGTACATGTAAA